AGCTCTCTGCTGCTGCGGCTTTCTGGCAAACACGTCCTAAAACATAAAAACAGGCTGAGTACAATCTCACATATGACTTTACTGAAAAAAACCTTAATGTTTAATACACAGAATTCAGTTAGTGTTTGACAAAGGTTATACAATGATAAACTTTACAGAGCAGATATTTCTGCTGCAGCAGATAAAAGAAATGTCATTTCATTTGGACTTTAATGGGGAATGACTACATGATGTTTAGAGATGAATCTAGAAATGCTGTACTAAGTAATGAATACAGACTTTGTCAGATTTGTATTTGGAGGTGAAATGTACCTTTTGATGACGATGGATGCCACTATGACAATGAGCACAGTGTGCAGAGTGAAGACAACCAGATGAACAACCAGCCATCTGTCAACTGCAGCAGTATTTGATCCTGTGAGACAGGACAGAAAGTTGTTGGACTGTAGACATTAAAAATATGTTTCTATGTTCAGAAACAGGAAACTGTTTAAAGAATAAAGTGTGAATCGATTCCTCCTCTTCGTTAATCACATTTCACTACAGAGAAAACTGATCAGACAAACCTTCAGCCTCCACATGCAGACTGTACGGCAGGGAGAGTGTGTCGGTCCTCAAACCACAGGTGTAGTTCCCAGAATCCTTTGCAGTCAGCGGGCCGAGCTGGAGGGCGGGGCCAGACTCTGAGAGGGCGTGGTTGTCTTTGAACCAGGTGACCTCCAGTTGGTGGATAGTGCAGACTGCAGTGCAGTACAGAGTGACTGATTCTCCTCTTCTCATCTCTCCGTCTGCACTGGAGCTGTTTATCCTCATTCTAACAGGATCTAAAACAAAGAGTTTAAGACTTGTTAGAGCTTCAATCTCTATTTAAACTCACCCACACATTGTCTGGACTGGAGCCCAGAGACGTTCCTGCTGCTGGAGAGCAAACAGTTTCCTCTCGTGCATGCTCAAATGAACGCAGCACGCGCACGCTGCTGCCTGTTGGCGTTTATCAAAGCTAATAAACAGACAGTTACTGTTATTGAGTGACGTCACACTGGGAGAGAAGTTTATCTGATTCCTGTTCCCACAAGTCACTCTCAGGGAGTTTTCTCCTCTTTTTCTGACAGTCTGTTCATCCTCTCAGTTGGAAACAGTGACACCCGCTTTGATACGAGGGGGAGGCGGGGCCTTACGCAGCTTCTGGCTCTGCTGTCTCTCTTCCTCTCTCATTTCCTTCCTGTTTCTCTCCAGAGGTTCCTCTTTAGTCCACACTCATCTTGCATTCAGCGCCGCGGCTAAAAGAGGCTGAGCTGCTCCCCCTCTGTCTGAGTGTATTTCTCATCTGACTGATGCAGAACATCAAACCCGTTTGAAAAGTCAAAGTAAACTCAAAATGAAAACGCTTCTTATTAACAGCATTATTGTGTACTTTTACTTTGAATATTTAGGAACATTTAACTTCCACCACTGGGTGTGACTGCAACCAAACAGAGCCTGGCTCTCTGTGCTAAATAAAGGTTAAGATGATCTAATGATCATTAATATTATTGCTATTGTTGGTTTTAGTATTATCATATGATGATCTTACCAGTGACTGTAACGTTCACTCCTGATTGGCCAGTAAAATGTCCTCTGGTGTAATTAACTTCCATTCTGAAGCGAAATGTTGCGTTATCACTCTTCTGTATATCTGTGATCTGTAAAGTGCAGTTTCCCTTCTTGTCTCCCAGATATTTGTAACGATGGTCGTTGTTCACAGACTCACTGTCGTACACAGACGGGGTGAGGCCTTGACAAATCGGATGGTTCTGGCACCAGCGGACTCTGACGATCTCTAAAGGAACTTGTCTTCCATTCTCTTCAGTGAAAGTCTTGAGTGGTGTGAAGGAGCAGAGGAGGGTGACAGTGGATCCTTTCACAGCACAAACAGGATCTGAATAGTTCACACTCTGACCTCCAGCACCTGGATACAAACAGACTGACATTAAAAACTGAATTCTCTGATTCTCTCTGTGAACTGAGATTAACAGACCTGTTACTGGATCCCATATTAAACTATATTCGTTTCATTTATATTAAGGATTTAAGTTCTGCATAATTAAGGGCGGAGACACTTTGAGTGACAGGTGGCTGTGCTATAAAAACACATCAATAAATCATGAAACCATTCTTGTACACAATATCTACACATCCTGTTAACATGAGAAAATGTTGTCAGTGCAGGAACTGGATCACGTATCGACTGACAGATCATCCATCCACTAACACTGTCCTTACTGTAATAATCAGCACCCACCCAGAGTGAAACAAGAAACGGCTGCTTCACCCATTTCCACACTGATAACAGCGAGCCACCACACGAGGTTTGCAGCTATTCAGGGTTTGACGCCACTGATTAGCTACCAGAATGCATTGCAGGGCCGCTCGTATCAACAATGAATGTAAGGTGTGGAAATAATTGATCCTGTGGACACGAACCTTAACAGACACTTTAACACAACCAGGTTTCTAAAAACAGACGTTCAAAACTGTTTCAGAATTCAGAATTAATGAAGAAAGAATTCATATTAATGAAGTTTGTGTAAAAAATCAGGGAACAAAACTAAAATAATAATTTATTAGGTAATAATGAATATATGGAGCTGCAGTTCTCATTAATGAGGCTCTGTGAGGGGGTAAAATGGGACTGCTGCAGTAGGACACATTGTGAGATTATGATGATGATATTGTGCACTGGTTGGATGTTGAACTGTCTAAAGCAGACTCCTGTTAGAAACCTGCTGTAACCTGTTATACTAAATAATCCCAATAATATTCATATATCATTCAAACTGAAGTAATGTTTAAAATGTAAAAGGTAGTTCAGGAGTTTATGTGTCTGTACTAGTATTTGTTACTTCACCTCCGTCAATGAGGACAGTTTCTTCCTGCACAGCTTTATTTATTTCATAATCACATAAAAGTACTCACACTGATATTATTCTGCATATTATTTGATTGTTATTGATGTGATCATGTGAAAGCAGCTTTTTAATCTTGTATTTTACTTTACTTTGCAGACGTCACAAACCTTTAGAGTCTTATAATAACCACAGACACATGTTCTGTTTTCATCTGGACACAAGTTTTATACACTAAACCACATCTGAACATTACAAAGTATAAAATCAATCATCATCACCTGAGCACTACCGGCTATTTAGTTATTGATATTGATATGATGGGACTAAAATAGTTTCCACTGGTTAAATAAGACATTATCTAATAATAATAATAATAATAATAATAATAATACAGTCTCAGAGCAAGAGTCTGGCCGTACATTTCTAGTGCAGTGTAATTAAGGTAAAGTTTATTTATAAAGCTTTACACTGTAATAACACATATCACACACAGCTCCTGACATTATAAATATGATATTGTAATTGGACTGGTACATGTGAGCCTCAATGTGTCTCAATCTAAAGTCACTCTCTGACTTCCCGTTTCTTTTTATTTGTTTTTCCGAGAACTTCTCTCACCAACTTCTCCTCATGAATTACTGGACCTTCTTTTTCTAAATGACTGGTCATAAAGAAGAACCCAGTGGACATTGAGAGGAGATTCAGGTTCAGTCTTACCTGCCAGCATTAACATGAAGCCCCAGAGAATCTTTTTGTCCCAGACTGCCATCCTTACTTTTAGAGTCTGAGAGTTGTGACCTCTTCCCCCGTCAGAAAAGTGTAAAGTGAGCGGCTGACTGACTGATTGTGAAATGATGAAGGAAACATATTGAGCTCATTTTCTGACTTCCGCCTTTCTTTTTTTTCGACGTCTTTCGTCAACTTCATCTGTGAACCACATCTCCAAATTTCAGCTTCACCAATGTCACTTCCCTAATAGATAGATAGACCGAACAAAACCGTCCACAGATTATCTTTACAGCCATCATATTCTGAGAGGGAACTTCCTCAACAGCCAGAGACTCACAGAGCGAAGCATCGACTGCTTTCTGTCAAACTGAACACAGATTCCATCTTTAGAAGCTGTTTCTGTATGAAACTGTATCTGTATTGAGGACTTTCAGACGTTCAGCAGACTTTAGGAGCCAATAGGAAGAGACATTAGCATCCTGCTATACAGTTCTGCAGGAATGTTTGTAGTCCAACCCAGAAGTTAGCATCGTCCTGGTTCCTCCGACAAAAGGCCAGAGGGACTTTTAGCATTGTGTCTTTTTGTATTAGCATTGTGACTTTCTGTAT